TTCACATTTGCAAGACTCTAATTCACATTTGCCACTCTCAACCTTTCTTAGAAGAAGGTCGATTTGATCGACTGATTCATTCTTCAGTCAAACCAACGAGATAAAAACCAGAACGATAATAGATATAACAAAAATGTATATTAGCCTGAATGGAAGAAAATCGGTCTGTTTGGAATCAGGGGCCAGTTTCTCAAAACTGTCAAAAGTCTTAAGTTCGCAGACATCCGATAGAAACATGTGTAAATTCTCACGATTCTATGGGGATGTTACAGTTAGACTTATGATGGCTTTGTGAAACTGGCTCCTAGGTTGAAGTCGGTTAGGCAATGCGAGAAATTTATTATGGAGTGCCAAGTGGTCACATTTTTACATTAAAGATAGATGACCCCTGACAGTACTTTATAGAAATCAATAAACATAAGTAATAATGTCATAAAGTTGAGTTCTTTTTTCATTTCATGACTTAATTAAATTAATTTCATTATTTTTTTTTCTTCATTTAAAAAAAAAATCTTTAAACAGAATTACATTAATTCATACCAAATAAAAAATTTGACATTTGGCATACCATAAATTGGTGGACCCAAGTTCGACCCATGTTTTACTTTGCCCACTGTCATTAATCCTGCCATTAATTTTGGATAATTATGAATGCTTTAAATATAATGATAATGAATGAACGTATGTGTCTAAATAAATGCATTGTGACCAACTGTGTTAAGTGATATATTAATAATAGTCAAATTACAAATGGAGAGGGGAGGTAACATAATACCTTTTTACAGTGACTTGTTTTATACAGATGGAACTAATGAACGAAAAGTGACATTTCTAAGCTGAATGGTTGTATCAACCATTTGAGAAAAAAACAGGGGAGAGGGAGCTCAATGCACATGGAAGGTCTCATATTAATTGACTCAGGACAACAAATTAAGTCCCTAGGATAGGACTTAAAAGTGCAGGTTCTCTATTAACTCTCAAGATTCCATGCGATATCATTTTTGTATCAGTACCAGATCCAGGAGAGGGGCACACCTGCCCCCCCCCCCTCCTCCCACTCCCCCAAAACTCAATCTGGCACACCCTTAAGTACACAAAAGGAAAACCAGTACATACAAAACCAAGCCCTTGTGACCCCCACCCCCTTAAATAATTTTGAAACTTTTGTCATATCTATCCCACGATAAATACACACTTTAGAACAGGGAGATTATATGTGTGGCATAATTATACAGATTAAACAATTCTGTGTTTAAAAGAAAAAAAACCTGTTACATAAAAATCGGCCTCATTTGTCAAGTGACCGAGATGGAAATACAGCTACAAAACAATGATGGCAAATAGATATAAAGCAATATAAAACAAAATATATAATATATAATATACATAACCACATGCCATACTATAAAATGATATAAACTAGCCATGTTCTCATTGTTTTCAAGGAACAACATGTAACTTATTAAAATGTAGGCATAAATACAAAACAAGTAAATATATTTTTAATAACCAAATAATAATTCTGCATCATGCATTTGTAAACAAATATAAATGGAAGCATTTATGGATAATTCATACTGTTTTGTTCAGGGAACTTCTTTTCCAATGCCCATTAACATAAACAATGTTTTTCATTTAAAGAGAAATAAAACATGAGATAAATACTGTCACATTAACACTGTTGCATAAAAAACACACCCCACCTACATGCATATGCAATAAATTTTTTATGTAATCATAATCCTATGTATTCCTAAGTATTAAATACTTCCAGTGACCTGCTTATCAAAAATCACTGACAAATATAAACGACATTATGAATATCGGTTTTACATTAATTTATGAAACTGACAATGACCTTAAGCTTATAAAAAATGAATTTTACAGCTACGAGCACATACAGCACACATTTTTATAAAAATCCAATGCATTTACCACACTTTCAATTTGATATGTGCAAATGCAAATGAGTTTGTATCACATTGTATGTAATGATGGAAAGTTAAGTTCAGTATAATTTTACCTTTGACCTTCTGCCTCTCAACAAATAATATGACAGGGCGGGTTTTCATCAAGTCTCCTACAGTTTTGAGACCATCATTTGATAATTCACACATGGGTGAAAGGTTACCCTTCTTCCAAAAAGAAGACATTACAAAAAGGGATAAAAAAGACAGTATGCATATGAAGTTAATCTCTTCTAATTACATACACAATACATGTTTAGTTTATATTACATACATACATATATGAAGTTCAGAAATAACAACAATAATACAGTATTTGATGTTTTGTAGGGTACATATCGACCACGTAGGTGCTCAAGGCACTCAGCTATTGCCTTGGCTACGGTGATCACAGCAGTCAAGGAATTCCTTCCTACCGGTACCCATTAAGCACCTGGGTGGAGAGTGGCACATGTAGATTCCCCAACCTCCCCATGGAGATAAAAAAAAGAGGAAGTGGAGGGAGGGAGGGGGGGGGGGTCCAGTTCACTGTCTGAAGGGCGACACAGACACCCTACAAAGATTGATTGATGGCACTTTTCATCTTGTCCGTATGCAAATTATTCAAGCAGTCTTTCTTCATGGACACTGGTTGGTTTCACCCGGTGAGCCTGGGCCCTGTTTCATGAAACTTCTTATCAATAACAAATGCAAGTATCTATGACAAATTGGCTCTCAGCCAATCAAATGCCACGATTTCAGTAGCTTATAACAGTAATTGTAACTTGTTATTGATAACAAGTTTTGTGAAACAGGGGCCCTGAAAGGAGATTCTGACATGCTGAAGTCCCATATGTGCTGTACAATAGGAGGCTCCATGAAGATAGCCTTCTGAAGCCTGAGAATGGGGAGGTACCAGGGGGGTGTTTCACAAAAATCCTAAGTTGAACTTAACAACTATGGAAAGCCGTTAGCACCTTTGAAAATATCTTTCTAAAATTATTTTAAAAGGCAAAAAATGTTGATTCAAATCATTCATATTTTCAATTATCATGGGAAATTTCATGTTCTTGATGTGAAATTCATGAAAAGTCTAAAATACTTGAATTTTCACTTTTGAATATATTATATTTTAAGGCTACAAATGGCTCTCCATAATTGTTCAGTCCAACTTAGAGATAAGTCCAACTTAGGATCTTTGTCAAACACCCCCTGGACCTGTAACCAGACTGTAGCTGGAGTACAGGCATCTCTGCACTCTTAAATGCAGGGGTGCCAGTCGGCTTTACTCACCGAGCCTGACAATAAGCCAGAACACGTTAAATCCCCATATGTGCTGTACAATATAAAGCCTGAAAAAGCCTGAAATTGGAAGTTGTCAGGGCCTGAAACTAGACTACAGCCGGACTACAGGCATCTCTGCACTCTTACAAAATGTAGCACCTGCACAGGACACGACCCTGTAACCATGGCAACAACTGGCATGAAGGTTCTCCACACAGAGAGAAAGAGAGATGTGATGTACTCTCTCTCTCTCTCCGATCGAGATGGAGATGCTATCTGGATCTTATTTTGGATGTTTTATGAAGAATTTGATCGCTCCATTAAAATTTAGCATCTGCACAGGACATGACCCTGTAACCATCGGCAACAACTGGCATGGAGGTTCGAGAGAGAGAGAGAGAGAGAGAGAGAAAGAGAGATGTGATGCGCTCTCTCTCTCTCTCTGATCGAGATGGAGATGCTTATTTTGGATGTTTGATGAAGACTTTGATCGCTCCGTTGAAGTCTGCAGAGACGAGCACCTCGCCAAGATCTGGCGGCCGTTTCAGCGATGAATGCTTGCCCTCCTTCGCTCCTGGCTCCCCCTTGACCGAGTCCGATCGGTCCTTCTTGGAGGTAGGGGAGGGGGAGGATGACCCCTTGACCAGCTGCTGGGGGTCAAGACCCGAAGCGGTCTGGATGGCCGAGGGAGCGGGTCCGAGGACGAGCTTGGGGTTTGGAGAGAAGACTACGGATGTCGTCACTGCATCGTGAACTACAGAACAAAAATGGGGAGTAATGGTAATAAGTTATCACGATGAATACTAAATAAGATCTACATGTATGAATCCTTTAAAGAAAAGATGATGATATGCATGACTAAGTTAACAAAGGAGATGTATATGTATATCAAAATTTCATTAAAAATTCTTTTTGTTCTTTTGAAAGATTACATATTATCCTGGTACTGCATTCCAATGCCAGTCATAGGGTATAACACAACCAAAATCCATTTCACACAAGTCATATCTGCAATAAATCTGGGCCCAAACTTGCAAAGCATTAAGATTGATCCAAATTGACAGCAATTAAGTTCAGATATGCCCCGTCATATCTGAATGATCTTTTAGAATAACCTGAGATTTTGTGTGAGTTGATGATGTGCATTGCCGCCATTAAAGATAAAGACTAGTTCTGGTCATGCGATTGCATTGTGAAAGAAACGTTGTGGAATCGATTAGAAAAGGTTGATCATCTAGCATATAAGTATTGGTGTGTACTGCAAGGTTCTGGATTCGTCAAAATGATAAGAAATTTGGCCCAGTCTTGGTAAAGTTACAAGCACTGTACACAGAAAGATGTATATGGGACTACGCGACACGTGCACGATATCAATCCGGTCCGGATAAATATAGTAATTTATCAAATATATCAATTAGTAGGCGGTTTCCCGGCAAAATTTGTATCTTTACGTATTAGTCAAAAAATATTCTTTCACATGATTGGTAATAAGAGCTTCCATTTCATTTTTTGAGACTGGGAGGGGGGCATTTCTAAAACTGGGCTATACCTTTAAGCCCTCATGACATTATATTACATCCTTACCTCTAATGGACTCCCAGAAGTCATTGCGGTCTCTTCTGACCGATGTAAACTTGGCAAAGTCATAGTGCGTCTTCCATATATAGAAGGCATGGTCCTCAGATCCGCAGATAATATAACGATGATTGTGACTGGAAAAGGAGTTTTAAAAACACACATCATAGAGACAAAACTAAAACACCACTGACGATGGTGATAAAGATGACGATGACCAAGATTTTCTGAAAAGGTACCTGCCTATGCTGGGATCCAGCCCAACACTAACGTCCTTTGGCAAGATGTTAATCTACATTTGCCACTCTCCACCCAGGTGTTAATTGGGCAACCGGTAAGATCTGAACGTTAATGTTGTTTGCTCAGCATTATGAGCATCTGTAAACTGGCGCCTGACTGGAATGATCCACAGGGAGTAGAGAATATGCATACATTGTGTGCGGGCAGGCCTATATCCGACAGGGGTAGTAATATATCTGTGAAGTGCTTAGAGACATTGTTGATGTATCAAGTGCTAATTGAGCATGGAATATTAATATTTGTATTATCAAAGCTAAAGTCAACTCACCTGAAAGATGCCTTGATTTGACTGCTGACGTTGGCGCAACCTTTGTACTTGCATGACAGTGAGAGGTCACGCAGGTCATACAGCCGTATCCGGGAATCGTTGGAAGTGACGAGAATCTGACAATTGAAAGGAAAAGGCAATGTCCTCACAGATATGACTGCATGATTTTCAAAGGAATGTAACAAATGTACTCCCCATGTACACGACATCAGTATGTAAGATTGCGCAATAGCCTTGTGATCATATGGTAGGAATACTCCCCAGGAAAGGGGAGATGGTGCACATAACGCAAGAATGAATCCAATGACCCGGGGTAGTAATTGTAAAGCGTTAAAAGATGGTATTTTGTATCAAGCGCTATATCAATCCAGAATATTATTATTATTCCTGAAGTTATAGGTTTTAACATGTATTCTATTTATTTTGTAGATCATACATGTAACTACTTGAGAAGTATCAAAACACACAGCTAGTGAATATCATATCTTGTTGATGGATAAATACATGCAATTCATATTACAGTCAAACCTGCTTTAGTGACCACCTGCCTACAAAGACCACATTTTTTGTCTCCCTTGGGTAGTCTTTATAGACAGGTTTCACTGTACATGCAATTTAAAAATCCAATCCAACCTCTGACAGCCTTAAAGATAAGGTTGAGTCCTGGTCATGCAATTGCATTGTGAAAGAAACGGTGTGGAATTGATCAGAAAAAGCTGATGGTGTAGCATATAAGTATTGGTGTGTACTGCAAGGTTCTGGAGTCATCAAAATGATACAAACAATTGGCCCAGTCTTGGTAAAGTAACAAGCACTGTACACAGAAAATGTATATGGGACTACACAAACATGTGGCATAAAAATCGGCCCTCATTTTTAAGCTGTTACTTGTCATATTTATAATATGAAGGCATTTTAAGAGCCATGTCTTTTAGGTAACATTTTTTCTCTGATGTTCTTCAACACTTGCATAATAACAATGATAATGCTCACAAATTATTTTTCACCTCTCCCCAGAACTCAACCTTCTCTTTAACATCCATCCTACCGACAACCTCTACATCAACTGACCTTGTCTTGACCTGGGAGGGGCTCAATAGCTGTGATCTTACGCCCCTTGGCATTGCGACCCCTCGTTGACCTCACGTGGATCTGGGTGTAGTATTTCAAGTGCTATAGTAGAGAAAGGAAGACAAATTACAAAGAAAATGACATGAAGTAGATTTAATGCTGGCCTCTTGTGTTTTTTCTACTTGCAATTTAGGAACATAACATAGTATATATTGGTGATGATGTGAAACTTTTTTTATAACCTCAAATATTGTACAGAAAAGTAACACAAAAAATTCTTAAACATAATCAACATCAACGATGTCTGTGACCCTCAATGACATATATTAATTGGCTATGAGACAGCCTAATAGAAGGTCTGGGGAATGTTTCACAAAGACTAAAACCAACTTTAAGTTGGACTTAACTATGGCAGGCCATTTGTGCCAATGGTCTCTCTCACCATTTACTGGCATTGGTCTCTCAAGGGACGTTCAAATCATGGTCACAAATCTACGAATTTACATTTTTTGATAGTTCATTCATTCTAAATATCATAATGGTGAGAGCAACCAGTGGCGTGAATGGCCTGCCATAGTTAAGTTCAACTTCAAGTAGATCTTAGTCTCTGTGAAACACTCCCCTGATCAGTCAAATAATGTATTTGTCACAAAAACATGAACATTCAATTTCCAAGGAAGTTGCAAACGTCTTGCTCTCACTTCACTTTCATAAAAGATGATCTACCATCATTGGTGACCAGTATACAGTATGATATACAGTCAAACCTGGTTTAGTGACCACCTGTCTACAAAGACCACGTTTTGTGTTTCCCTTGGACAGTCGCTATAGACAGGTTTGACTGTATTACTATCAAGTTTAATTGCAACTTTTCATGACAGCATCAGCTGGCCGATCAAAAGTTAATTTGACAATAAAACTAGATGAGCTGCCACCTCCCCTCACTTACCTCTGTATCATAGAAGATGCATCTACCGTCGTAGGTACCCACGACCGAGAACCTGCCGTTCTGGATGAAGTTGGCTGCCGTGATGAGCTTGGTTGGGCCGTCGACCTCGTTCCAGAGTGCGACCTTCTTGTCGGGAATGTTCCAGAGACGGAGCTTGCCGTCCAACGAGCCGCTCAGAAAGTAACGATCATCCTAAGAATATAGAAATTGGATTTGATTGATGTCAATTCTGTCACATAGAGAATGCATTTCAAACAAAGAGCTCATGGAATTTCTAAGAAGGTGGCATATATTTGTGGGTATTTCAGATCATTTAATAGCTTAACTGTGAAAAAAACAAAGGGTTGACTTTGTCTAATATTTCTTTCCTTCTAGACAGTAAACATCAATCATTTTGCTTTTCGTTTAGAACATTTTAACAGATTAGAAATAGAAAATAAATGAATGTAAATATTAGCCACTTGGAGAAAATTTATAATACATTTACATTTTTTTCTGTTTTAAGAAATTGTGTATGCAGTAGTTTTTATGTGTGCGTGTGTGGGTATGGTGACTGAATTATTTTTAAATAAATTTGTTTTTTGTGGGGGCCCTATTTTATAAGCAATATATATATTTGCTTTGTATTTTGTATGTTTGATGTATTCTATTTTCTATTTTATAATTTGCTTTTACATGTACAGTCAAACATTCTTTAGCGATCACCTGTATAGAAAGACCACCTGTCTACAAAGACCACATTTTTTGTTTCTCCGGAACATGGTTTCTCATCAAAACATGTACTAAACGAACCTGTATATAAGGACCACCTGCCTATAAAGACCACTTTTCTTGTCTCCCTTTGGTGGTCTTTATAGACAGGTTTCACTGTATATGGTTTAATAAATTCAATTCAATTAAACCTACCCTTGGATGGAAGGCGATAGCAGTCACAAAGTCAATGTGTTGGAAGCAACAGAGACATTCACTGCGTGAGACATGCCACAAACGAACCATCTTGTCCATGGACGACGATAGAATGAAGTAGTTCTGAGATTGTGAAGGTGAAGAGATAAATTGAAATAAAATTTTTAAAAGGGAACTGAATTAATTCAATCTTATACTAACCTTCTGTTTAAATGGAATGAAATGGATTAATCAGGAATAGAGTAGAGTATCTTTGTATCTAGACACATGTCTATCTGAAAAGAAGAAAGAAATCAAATTTCACAGAAATATTCTACTTACTAGTATACAAATATTGACTGCTCATGAGGATGATGGTGGGAATTATCACTCCCAAGGTGGTGTTCATATCGGCCCTTCTATCACCCCCGTGGCAGGGCCGAGGGGCGATAGAACGGCCGGTATGAACACCACCGAGGAAGTGATAATTCCCACCACCAACCGATCACAGAGCAGTCCATATTTGTTTTATATACCTCATCCGTTCCAAGATGGACGTTTTCATCAACAACTTCTACAATATCATCATCAAATTTAAATATATGAATTTTTCGAACTTTACCACGAGAAAATACAACAAATTTGGTTTGAGCTGTGTTGACATGAAGAAACCATTTTGAGCTAGAGCGCCGTGACAACGCGTGAGTTGCGTGCTGGGGGGAATCTTGTGCGCTCTGTGTGTGTGCGAAAGTCGCGCAGGGGTTAGGAGTTCTATCACAGGGCTTTGGAGTACTATCACAGGGTTTGATAGAACGACGCAATGATAGATCGAGATGCTCCTTATCATGTGATATAGTCTTGACCAATCAGTGAATGACAATCTATTTATAAGGTATATAAAAAAAAAAACTAATGGAATATAGAGATTGATAAATAGCATCTAAAATCATCTAAATTTTTAATCTAATTTTTGCTCTTGCAATACAAGTAGGGGAACAATGCTAAATAAAATGGATAGCAACATTGAGTTCAAACAAAAATTGTTCTATTTTGTTTTGCTTTAATTTGTTATCCCTTTAAATTGAATATTATCTGCTGTTAGCCTTAAGGGTGTTAATTCTTATGAACAAGTTATGAGTTGAAACCTTTCTGGGACTCGGCATATGATTCAACTATAATCACGACTAGTCTTGATCCCCAAAACATCTCCATCACTTACCTTCGACCACGAGATATCGAGGAGATCCGCCGTGTGACCCGAGTAGGTGAAGAACGGCGCCTTGGCGAAGACGGCCTCCCCGTTCTCCTCCTGCGCTCCATCCACGTCCTCCTCGGCCGCCCTCCTGGCCTCCTCCTCCTTCTCCTTCTCGATGGAGCCCTCCATCTCCATCACCTCCTTCTTGAGCTGCTCCCGCTCCTCCTCGATCTCCTCGGGCTTGCGGTCCCGCTCCAGGCTGGAGCTGGAGCTGTCCGAGCTGCCCTGGGTTGCCGACTTGGCCCGCGACTCGTTGTTGTAGCGCTGCCGCATGTCGTCAAAGTACTTGTAGTAGTCCTTGAGCACCCACACCCGCAGCAGGTGGTCCTGCCCTCCTGTAGCCTAGTGGTAGTTGGCAAAGAAAAAATCATCATCATCAAACTTGAAAAGAATAATGACTAAAATTTTGCCATTATACTTTTTGGCCCTTTCACAAGTTTTGGGACTGTCACGGTGCAAATCCCTGCTAACACAGGTCACTACTTTCAAAGGGGTTGCGGTTTTTATTGAAGATAATTTCAAGCAAGGTTTTGTGAGTTTTTTTTTTTAATTTTAATAGTTCAAACAAACAATCTACTGCAGGATCAACAATCCAGAATGAATTATAGCTGTGTTCTCTCGACATACTATTCTCATACTAGAGCTCAAGATTAGCTTTAAGAGAAATACAGAAATTAATTATTAACCATTTTTGTACAAATGAATTTATTACAAGGGTTGGATTGTCCTATAAGAACCCCTGATCTAGAAGACTTACCAGTAGTCTTCCACAGTGGGAGAACCTCATAGTCCAGATGGCTCCTGTGTGTTCGCCACTCAGATCCTGACAGTTAACAAGCTGATCAAAGTCATAGCTACCCTTGTGACTGGACGCTGCCTTGAACTACGGGAAGAAAAGAAGTGCAAAGGTCAAATAAAGTCAAACCTGCTTTAGCGAGGCGTTACTCTAGATTTGCCACTCTCCACCCAGGTGTTGAATGGGTATCCGGTAGGATCCGAAAGTTAATATAGTTTGCTCAGCATTGTGAGCTTCTGTAAATTGGCGCCTGGCTGGAATGCTTCCACGGGAGTGGAGAATGTGCATACATTGTGTGCGGGCAAGCCTGAATCTGATGTCAGGGGTACTAATATATCTGTAAAGCGCTTAGAGACATCGTTGATATATTAAGCGCTATATAAAAGCGGATTATTTTTATTAGTAGTAGTATTAGCAACCACCTCCTATATAGAAAGACTACCTGTCTATAAAGACCACATGTTATGTTTCCTGTTGAATATGGTTTCTCATTGAAACATGTACTAAATGAATCTGTACATAAAGACCACCAGCCTATAAAGACCCCTTTTCATGTATCTTTTGAGCGGTCTTCATATACATGTTTAACTGTATGAAATTGATCAGTTGTAGAGCAGTGGCCTCGTTATTGGGAGGTCCAGGGTTCGAGACCAAGTGCAGACAAATATGCCATTATGTAGAAGAAAAACATCAATCAATGATATTTTTGTACACGACAATGGGAAAAGAGTCTGTGACTATGTCACAATCCACTGACCAAACTGCCAATTTGAGATTCGTATAGACTAGTCAGTGTTTCAAATTCAGATTATAAACCATTAGCCTTTTTTTGGCATTAAAATTCATCATTCTTGAGATGATGTCGTAGCTGGGATCAGGAAAGCCTTTTTTTTTCTTAAACAGATTGATAACATTTATCAGTTTTATTTCATTTGCTGTCAATACAAATGTATGGTATCATATCAGTGTGCCTCAGGTGAGTAAGGATGTCTCCAACAAACGATTTGTTTGTCAGCTCCGTCTTGAAACTAGATAAGAGTGATCATCATTGGCACTGGGATCAGGAAAGCCATGAGGGCTGACATGAAAGTTGACGTAGACTCGAGAGAATACGAAAGAGAGATATATACCTTGCAGTAGCGGGTGTCTGGTATTGATTCTTCTTCGCTTATTTCCTGATCGTCGTGCCGGAATGCTTCATCTGCAGCTGTCTTTAACTTGTGCACCGTCTTCCCAAGGAACTTCTTAAGCTTTTTCCTGAGATTAGAAAAGTTTTGTTTTTTATAATTAATAAAATCAATGCATTTTCAGCTTCAGAACACCGGAACAGAATTTCCTGTACAGTCACTTAACTATGAGAGCAAAATTTCTATCTACTTTCATTCAAGGGCACTATTCCTAAATTAAGAATAAATACAGTCAAACCTGTCTATAGCGACCGCCCAAGGAAAACACAAAAAGTGATCTTTGAAGACAGGTCCCTTCATATGTTTCAATGAGAAACCATTTTCAAGGAAAACAAAAATGTGGTCTTTGTAGACAGGTGGTCACTAAAGCAAGTTTGACTGTAATAGATAACCATGAATGAAACAGTTCTAGATTTTGGCCAAGAATTTTTCATTATATTTCAATTAAGATTATCACAAATGCTCACACTTTTGAATAAGACTAAACAAATGCTAAATGAGATTTTTTTTCTTCTTTTCTTTCTTTTTTTTACAGTATCCTTTCGGCCTAAAATTGTACTAAAATACTGTGCTAAATACAATTTTGTAAAAATAAATATTTCACTTCCGTTTGGTAAAGTGACAAATTACAATGAATCAAGAAAGCATGTATCTGATGTTAAAAATAAAATTTATAACTGATAAGTTGCAGCTTTTATTTGGTTAGGGCATTGAAAACATTGAAGACTGGTGTAATATCTTTCTTTGATCTTACTTCTTTTCCTTGATCTGGTGAGCAACTTCAGTGGCACCAGTCTCCTTCTCTCCATCACTGCCAGCCTCCTTGTCTAGACTTGAATTACTGAATAGAATGAAGAAACAAATAAATAAAGTAATAATGACAATAATGATCCATTTTTATCTATCTCTTTATCCTTTTTTTTTATGTATCCAGATTTTCCTTTGATAATTCATGTATTTTACAAGATTAATCTCCATACATGGACAATAAACAATGAATATCTATATAATGAATAACTTATCAAATAATGACTGTTTGTAACTTATATTATAAGACTGTTTAGTAATGGGTCCTTAATCAAAAGTCTTTTGAATTCTAATAATATATGATACTTTGTTTTATGCTCAGTAGAGTATATTTACACAGTAGCTGCGCAATATAAAAAGGACCTATTATTATTATGTACAATCTTACCTGACATATTCTGAGGTGATTCGCATGATGTGAAGGGAGAGAGGGTTAACGCACTGTGGTAGTCTCTCCTCAGCCAGAAGCAAAGGCACTGTCTCACCGTTGTCCAGGTTCTTAACGATCACTTGCGATAGAATTTCCTTTGGGGGGGGGGGGGAAGATTGCATTTCTAATTTAATCATTTAAAGATTATTATTATTTACAATTAAATCATTATTAGACCATATGGATAACGGGCAAAATAATACTCAGCTTTCATATAGCGGAAAGTACAATTAAGGCTCTAAGCACTTCCAAACTTGGATATTATTACCCTCGGCTTTAGCTGTGCTGCCATTACAGCGCTCAAGCATTTCAAGGAATTCCTGCCAGGTACCCATTTACATCACCAGGGTTGAGAGTGGCAAATGTAGATCAATGTCTTGCCAAAGGATAGTAGTGCCGCGGCGGGACTCAAACTGCGGACCTTGTGATCGACAGTCCGGTGACATACATGTATCCACTCGACCAAGACACCTCTACACATTTACATGTACAATTAAATGATTATTAGACCATAGGTAGTAGACCTATTTGAGATTAGACCAAATGAAAATTAGACCAAAAGACTATTAGCCTTAATGGTCATTAGACCAAAAGATTAATAGATAAAATTCTTCTTCTTCTTCTTCTTCCAGTGTAAGTGCTGCTGCAAGGTGATGAAGATAAACTGATTGTGTGTGTATATGTGGAGACTTTCACATACCCTGTTATTCCACATTTTAGTGGATAGTAGACGGGCTGAATGTAGACCATATGGGAATAGACTAATTTGGTAGTACTTAGACAAACTGGTTGTAGACCAAACGACAATGAATCCCTTATCATTACCTCATCAGTCAGTACCTCCCCTGTCATCAACTAGCCCATTAAAAACAAATGAAATTCCGATTAAAAGATTAGACCGAATGGAAATTAGACCAAAAGACTATTAGCCTAAATGGTCATCAGACCAAGTAATAAGTAGACAAAATGACGGGCTGGATGTGGACCATATGGGAAGAGACTAATTGGGTAGTACTTAGACAAACTGGTTGTAGACCAAACAGGAATAAACCCCTTTTCATTACCTCATCCGTCAGTTCCTCCCCCGTCATGGACTGTCCCTGCATCAGGTTGTAATACTTGAGTAGTTTCTCCGTCTCGGGGGTGTTGCCCCTGCTTGGTTTTTCAGGGGGCTGAGATGCGCCCCTGCTTGGTTTTTCGGGGGGCTGAGATGTGGTGCTGACAGGAGCCCCGCCCTGTTTGACCCCTTTCGGCATGGCCCGCTGAACTTTCAGATCTTGCCTGGATTCTCCCTTGATGCTTTGGGTGTCCTGAAAGAAATAATATAAAAAGAAGTCTTTGAAAATTCATAATAATAATAATAACATCATTTATAAAGCGCACATATCCACCCTAAGGGATGCTCAAGGCACCTCACAAGGTAAATACATTAAATATATGAAAGTTCATGAGAAGTTACACGGAACGAAAAAAATTAAACACGAGATAAGAATTTGTCACTTGAAAGACGAATGAGGTGGTCTGCCTGTTTTTTTTCAAATGATCTATGGTTTTAACGAAGAGATGGAGAGAGAGAGAGTGAGGTGGCAGTCGATAGATATAGAAAAGGAGACACAGAGAGGGGTATAGTCATATTGCAAATTCATGCTCAGAAAATAAACTACCAAACTGTTCATCAGAGATAAAAAAAAAAGACTTTTTAAGATGCCAATGCTCAAGACCTATCTGTTCCATGCTACGACATCATTGCAAGAATAATGCTAACAATGAGAATAAATAAACTCTCTTCGATGTTGAATAAGATTGAGGTACATGTATGTGATACATTTAGCGTTCATTCGATCTCAGCCTCATTTCATTAAATTGGCGCCTACAAGGGCCCTTTTTATTGAAAAGCTTGAAAAATTCTCATTTTCTCATACTGACATGTTTGTTAATTTTTCTATCTTTTGTGTGCACCTATGCTGAGTGTGCGTCAGTTATGTGTGAAGTGCGTCACCTGTTTAAAGCATGACATGTCAGTGTGTTATGTAATATTATGTATTAGCATTTCCATTGCAATTAAGTTGCGCTTAAGTTAAGTAGGCCCTCTCTCACTTAAATTCAAAGCCACTCGAGCGGTTCGGCCAATGTCATGGGAGCGCATTTTATAAATGTACAGCGCTCAATGCGTAAAGTTCTACGTGCCATGAGAGGCATATGTCAGTAGTATACAAGAAACTCTCATCATCCAAGAAGGACTAACAGATAAATTAAGTAATACTCAAAGTGTATAAAGTTTATAATACATCTATGTCAATTTTTACCTGTCTAATCACTAAACATATACATGTATGTCACAACCTGTTGCTATAGCTGATATTTATCATGATAAACCTTAATTGACGTCCTGGCTTGTGTCATTTGTCAAAAACATTGCATTTTCACTGATACTAATGTATTATAGTAATTAGTTTATGTATCTATATTGTGGTTTTTAATGCCCTACACGGCACTAATGTCCTTTGGCAAGGCATTAATCTTAATTTGCCACATTCGACCAAGGTGATGTAAATGGGTAGCTGGCAGGATTTAATTCCTTGAAAAGCTAGAGCGCTGTAATGGTAGCTAGGCGAAAACCTGGGGTTATTTAGGCACTATAGAAATGCCTATTATTATTATTATTTATTATCTATTTTATTTATTATGATTGTAAAAGAATCTCCAATTTGGGTGGCGGGTGATGTCTTATAAATAATTTTTTTTAAATAAATAAATTAATAAATTAAACAAATCTATGGAATGTATATGGCGGGTACAAATCAAAGAAGCGAGTTGTCCCATTGCAAGATTTTTACAACAGTCAAGTGTCGAATCTAGTGGTTTAAGCACTTGACTTGAAATTCAAAGGTCGTGGTTCGATACCGACAAGGTACTAATGTCCTTTGGCAAGGCATTAATCTGCCACACTCGACCCAGGTGAGGTAAATGGGTACCTGGCAGGAATTAATTCCTTGAAATGCTAGAGCGCTGTAATGGCAGCTAGGCTAAAGCCGTGGTAATAATTAAATTGTGCGCTTCGGAATAGAATTTCTAGATAGACGGCGCTATATAAATGCCTTTTATTATTATTAAGGTCTGTCTCACCTTATGGAATACGATGTAGTCTCCCCCGTGCACCGCGCTGGCTAGATCCAAAGAGTGCTCAAGCTCCCTCGTTATGCTCTCGATGGTGGTGGTGGGCGTCAGGAGACCGCTGAGGGGCCGGCTTTGACTCTCCGGGGGCAGACCGATGGGTTGCTCATCACCCCCTGCCAATGATCCTTCCTCGGACGGCTATATTGAATTTGAATTTGAACTTCATTCATATACATGAACATTTTGTTTCACAATACATAAATAAAACAATTATGTACAAGAAAATCACAAGTGGTATAGTTTTGTGAGTAATCACAAATTAACAATAATCAATGTAGCTTGTGTATACAGTGGTAATTATTACAAAATAATTATATGGCACGTACCAGCCTATGTTTGAATATTGAACAAATGAAATGATGTGCCGATTAGAGGCGATGTAACAGTGATTACCAACTGCAAGATCCTTTACAAAGTACAAGACAAAGTTGCTTTAGCAATCGACTTACTATATTTTTTGTTTGTTTGTTCAAAGATGTCGCAAGGAAGTTTTAAAAAACATGAACAAACATTCAGACATTGAGAAATCAGACCGAAATGAGAGTAGTGAACAGTAACACTAACACAATTCAAACTCCTACTTTTCAAGCACTATAAATTATTTTTGGTCAGATTTTCAAGATATTTAAATACTGGTACAGTATGTAATTTTTGATTTTCCTTTTTCCCTCCTGAACTTTTCTCATTTTATTTGAAAAATCTTGATTTTTAGCATTTCTGGTTTTTCTGTCTTTCCCTGGAGATCTTTCTAATTAAAAGACTATATCACAGGAACATGTATATTTATTAAAGGTATATAAAGACTATCTACCTAAAAGGAAAAAAGTATGACATAAAATGAAACTTTTTCTCTTTCGACCTACTTGTAACAAACCAAATTTCAAATTGACACAGAAACATATTCAAATTATCCATCATCAATTCTGTTTGATCATACCTCTTTAGAGAATTTATTACATTGTATTCATTTACTGCATCAAAACACACAGAGAAGATAGAATGGAAACTACATCATGTTAAAGCCCCACTGCACTACTTATAGCTACTTGCGCCCTCTATATATACAGCAAACAACGCCTAAACAGTACCCGTTGGTCCCCAATGATCCCCTTTTTCTTATGTTAAGTGAGAGCTGATTTGATGAGATTACCACCTGTTAATGATCACGCAGGGAGGTCTAATCCCTTCTGGCCAAACTAGTGCAGCCAGGCTTTAAACTCTGATAAAACAATGGTATTACCTCTCTAAATGAGATGGAAAGGGCCGAGCTTGTCTGGCTTTCGAAGCTCTCCTGCCTCGGAATCTCCGCTATCTTCTTCTGCTTCTTCTTTCTCCTAGGAGGAGCGACAGGTGGAGGCATATCATCTTGGGCGGGAGCCGCACTCGAGGGGCTTGGCTCGTCCGCACTGGGCGAGGAGGGCGCAGCTCCCGACAGCGGGAGCTCACTAGGGCGCTCTTTGGTGCTCGCGATGACGTCCGGTTCCACGTTCCGGTTAGCCAGACCAGGTTCTCGCTCCAGCCTCTGCGAGAGATCCTGGTCCTGGGATTGGTCTGTCGCTTGATTGGATTCCTCCGCTGTGGGTTCTGCATCCGAGGGCATCCCAAGGTCCGGCTGTCCCTGGTTACCAGGTATGGTGCCAGCAATCTCCTGCAAGGGAAGTCACCTCTTTCATTTATCTTTGACTGATAACTTGTTAATTTAAAGTTAAGAAGTTACATATAGTCAATACAATGTCTGTGCACTTAAAGGGGGTGTAGCATGGCCAATACTGGTTAACGCCATCTACAACTTCTTTCGGACAACTGCTCGTGAACGAATGGACTAGATTAACGGTCAGGGAGCGCTAGTGTTCGCCAAACAGACCAAAGTTCTCCTCACGCTTCGGTATCGTGTATGTTGCACACACGTGAATACTGCGGTCGCATCGTCCGTAGTCTATTTATACCCGATTGGCCCCGAGTCAGGCCACGGGAAAGACACATAGTCTCGTCATGCTGCACCCTCTTTAAAGAGAGTTGAAGATTTGGCTCAAAGGCAATTCCATATCCTTCAAGTCGACAATCTCAGTACCGGTAATTCAACATTTTGTTTCTTTCTGTCAACAAACACTGTCCTTTGTTATCACATCAAGATCTCCACAAGGACAAAAATACTGTCCACATACATGCAACCTTTGCCAACTGTTATTTGGTCATGATATCTATCACCACCATAATAATAATAATAATAATAATAATAATATTCATCTTTTAAAGTCCAATCCAAATTTTATTTGGTTAAACCGAAAATGGAAATTCTTTTTGCCCAAGTGATCGTGAGCCCGGCAGCCACTGAGCAGCGCCAGATCGACATTGCTCTATCCCTTATTTTTGAACGCCAAACAAGGTAGCAGCAACTCCCGTCTTTTAACGTCTTTTGGTATGACGCGACCGGGGTTTGAACCTACGACCTCCCGGTTGTGAGGCGGACGCTCGACTGACTGAGCTACATGTAACACACCATTATCAAATGTCCTCATGGACTATTTTATTTCATTACCTAGAACTGTACAACATATCCTATCAGAACATAGAAAGATTTCATAACTCACTTCACCATCTTCGTTGCGCCTCATCTGTTCCAATCGCTTTCTCCTCCTAATGGCTTCTTGGCGGCGATCTTCAGCTTCCTGTAATGTTGAAGAAGGAATTATTTAATCAGAGTCATTTTTGGAAAGCACTTGTGTCATACGTAAGAAAACACTCCTGGGGGTGTTTCACAAAGATCCTATTAAAGTCGAACTTATCTTATGGAGAGTCGTTTGTAGCCTTTAAAAAAATATATTCAAAAGCAAAAATTCAAGTATTTTAGACTTTTAGAAATTTCCCATGATAATAGAAAATATGAAGGATTTGAATCAACATTTTATGCATATAAAAATAACTTTTATAAAAATATTTTCATAGATGCTAACAACTTTCCATAATTGTTAAGTCCAACTTAGAGATGAATTCAACTTAGGATCTTTGTAAAACACGCCCCTGGTGAGCTACAATTCTATACTCTGGTAAAGCAGTACGCCTGAGGACCCTATTCACATCGCATCTCGGTAGATAGTGCAAAATGCAGATTGACATCTTGCCATAGGACAGTAGTGCCAGGCTAGGATCAACCTTTCAACCTTTTACATTAAAAAGAAAGTTGTGTGAATGGACTACAAAATGAGGACACCTCTACATTTTCTACACAGGGGGCTGTTCAGACTTCAAAGTCTACATGTACATGTACACATACAATGCACATGGTCTGATATCATTGATATCTGAGTTCAAACACGTGCTGCTAATATAGCTGAAAGTTCGTTTTCAAGGACGAATATCAAATAGCTGTAATTTGAACTTATGTTCATTTTCTTCTCAAACATGACGGGCTCAATTTCATTTCCTCATCAAGTGATACACGACATGGATCACATATCATATTTCTAGCACATTTTCTCAATAAAAGACCATTAATCAATATATTAAATTCAATTTATAGATCGATTCTCTGTTAGGGTTGGTCCTAAAATTTGGAATTCCCTACCTGCTATTTTACAGTCTGTCCGATTTAACAATTCATTCAAAAGACTTTACATGAACGTCTTCTCTCTCTTTATAATGTATTATTTAAAGACCACATCTCTCACAGTAAAATGATATCCCTCCATTTTTTTCCTCCTTTTTTTTCTAAGCATGTTATTATCACTTCTGCGTCTGGTGCATTCAATTGTCAAGCCTTATTGGCTTTTACGGATGCACCATTTTCCATTTGTAATACGGTTAAATACTTTCATATTCTATTTTGAATGCTTTTACGTAAATTTTGAATTTTGATATCATTATCTGTTATGATATTACGTATTTTATCTTTGTTTATATTACATCAATTTGTCATGCTAATGGAAATAAATGAAAATTAATTCAAACACTGATATTAAAGATATTCTTCAGGCACACTACATAGTACAATCAGACATGATAAGGTGTGGCAATCTCTCAAGCATTAAAGGGATAGTTGAGTTCTGTTGCAGAGGGCGCTACACAAAATATTTTTTTGTGAGATAATGAAAACTGAGTGTCAAATTTGAAAGAACATATTTAAATGACAAAATCATCTTTGTTTGATCAAAATCGGTTCAGAGACGGCTGAAATATAACGATTTCTAATACTTGTGTACCACCGCAAATATTAGTTATTTTGACAAATTTGAAAAAACCGTTGAAAAAAACGAAATAACGCCTTTTACGTCATATTTCAGCCAATGCCGATGTTGGCTTTTTCGTGTTGCGTGTTACGCAGAACCAGCCGACCCATTTATTGTTATTTTTAATAAAATAATCAATTAACAGTCACCATGTTTTTTGAAAGTGGAGCTGAATTGGTATGATCGTCATGGCTAAATTTCACACATTTTGGGGTCTAAAATTACCTTCATAGCAATTTTAGGTTCTAAAAGGGCACTAGAAATGTCATAGATAAGAATAAGAGCAATAACAATGCACTTTGAAGGCATTTGCGGTCTGAATACAGAACTCAACTATCCCTTTAAGCTTATATTGTCGTACCTCTGTATGCTTCTGTGTTATTTACAATTGCAAATGTATACTGGTAATGATCGTAATCTCCTAGTATTTACTACCATGATGGTCATGATCATACAATGTAAACTGTTGAACCATGCAGAAATAATTAAATAAATAAATAAATAAATAAATAAATAAATAAATAAATAAATAAATAAATAAATAAATAAATAAATAAATAAATTAATTAATTAATTAATTAATTAAGATGAGAGCTCAACAAAAACAGGATATTATGAATGCCACCGAGTTTTTATGTCTACGGGTCAAAATATTACACATGTACATGTACCTGCTCTTCTCTTTGCCGCTCTTCCTCTTCCAATCGTCTCTTTACTTCTGCCTCTCTCTCTTTCTGTAATCTTTCCATCTCTTCTCTAAGCCTCTGTGTCAAAATAATGGAAAGAAATATAATACTAATAATAATAATAATACCTGTAATAATAATAATCTGTTAAGGTCCACTCCAAATTTTATTAAGTTAAACCGAAAATGAAAATTCTTTTTGCCCAATTGATCGTGAGCCCTGTAGCCACTGAACAGCGCCAGATCGACGTTGCTCTATCCCTTATTGTTGAACACCAAACAAGGTAGCATCAACTCCCGTCTTTTAACGTCTTGTGGTATGACGTGGCCAGGGTTCGAACCCACGACCTCCCGGTTGTGAGGGGGACGCTCTACTGACTGAGCCAATTCAGTTATAAAGGGAAAAGGCAGGGGGACCCCAAGAGTCATAGTGATTACCTTTGCTCTTCCCCTCCCAGGCAAAGCTGACGCCAAATCATTCATAATAAAATGATTGATACTTCTTCTTGACTTCTATTCAATATTTCAAGGAGATAATTCATCAGTTGTTGTGATATGATCTTACACAAATATACAAACGTCATATTTTGAATTTGGAACGATTGGGGCCAAGTCTAAAATGACATGTGGAACCACTCTCTTTCCCCGGTCATATTATAAGGGGGTTCACTATGTACAGACAGGAAGGATTAGATCTCAGACAGGAATTGGGTTAAAAACACCTTTAATAAGGCGACAACGGCCTTAGAAACAACAATCGGAATCTTACAGACAATCGTCCATTTTCTCCTCTCTCCATCCCTCTCCCGATCATATCGGTATCGGTATCGGTTATCACGATATCAATCCCTATACTCTCCCCCACCAAAAATACCCTACAGGGTTTTTTCAAATTATATTCAAACATTTCCAAACTGCTCATAAAACAAGCCAAATCTCGCCCGAGACATATACATGTGAAGCAACAATTTTGCAACCAAGCGCGCGTACAGACAAAACAGACGACCACCAGTTCTCTTAATTTGCTGTGATCGCTATCGACTCTTTCTATGTTGAGTTCAGGGTAAATCTATACACCCAGTTCGCTTGTCTGCGCAAGATACCATCAGTACTCAAAAAATGTACACTGTAAGAATAACGAACACCGCACCCCAAAGGATAGCTTTTCCCCCTTTAAAACAGAGATGCAAAATACATAATGCCAAAAACCAACAAGAAAAAACGTCCAATACAGATTATCGTCTGAACATGTTCAAACATATCCATGAATACCTTTTCAAAGAAAAATCAAAAGAAGTAACACAGCACCAGCACAGCTGAGTGCTCTTTTGTTTGATTTCTTTCTAAAAGAAATAACCCTTAGACAAATTTGTAATTTATCCCTACCTGCATGGCTAAAGTGTAGGATGAATGACAACTAAACATACTTCGTATCCTCTATTAATTTAAATCCGTTCAGCAGGTCCGGCAAAAACATTTAAATATATATAACAATATATTATATATATATTGTTATACCCAATGTCAGGTCAGATATAGTGTTTACCAAAGTGTAGGACGTTAGCAAAACTAACATCTGTATATGTGTAAATTATAAACTACACTCAATTGGTAGTCCTTTTGTTTCGTTTATCTTTTGAAACACAAATTCTGTGTACATACTGTATAACAATTTCATGTGCACAAAAATTCAGTGTACATGTATAACTCTAAGTAAAAACACTAGATGCAAAGACAGAAAATTCGCAGGGAATCACAAGTTTATATACAGTTCCAATTTTCAACAATTTCCAACCGGTTGTATTTATCCTTTAACTGTAAAGATAAGGATCCGACATGTTAATATTATAATAGTCATCAACAATTCTGAAGAGTGCATAATTCTGCACGAGCCAGAATTAAAGCACATGGGCACGCACCAATATAAATGGTTGACATTAAACATATAACATCAGTTGAAATAAGAGTCTGTTAGAATCTATATTAAGAGTCCAGATCAATTAAACTTAGCGTCCATTTAGTTTCGCGATCCATAGCCCAACTGTGACAGTCCCGCTCTCGACCAAACTGCAATCTTACTCGGCTATAGAGGTAAGTCAATGTAATCGTGAGTCGCGAACTTTCAACCAGTCCTGATCCAATATGCTACAATAAGCGACAATTTTAACAGCGTTGACAACATGCGAAGTCTATGTTCGAAGTAATTAGCACCCTTTCAATTGGTCCACATGAACAATGCGAGTTATCTTCTTGTTGGCAGCGTTCACCACAAGAAAATTCACTGGGGTTAGTTTTTTCTGCACAACAAACGGCCCAGTCCATCGTGGTGCTAGCTTAGCTGAGAAGTTCTTTTCCGCATTTGATAGAGGTTTAGTCTTCACCATGACTTGGCTTCCTTCAGTGATGCGGCACTCATCACGGCTCTGGTCGTAGTATTGTTTGGAGCTACTAACAGCGCGTCGACGATTGTGTGCGATTTCTTCTTGCGTAGGAATGTCTTTGTTTCCCTCAGTCTGCAGGCGGTTAGTCAAGGGAGAAGCCAAGCGCCGTCCAAACATAACTACTGATGGTTCTACACCAAGTGTGTCATGACTACTGCTGTTCAGGGCAAAGGCGAGTTCAGCGAGATGAACATCCCACTGTCGATGGTCAGATCCGGTGTAAGCTTGAAGCATGGCCTTGATGTTACGATTCACCCTTTCGACCCAGTTCGTTTGGGGGTGATATGGCGTGATGAAGATCTGCTCAATCCCCCAATCTGTGCAGACAGCTCGCAGAACCTTCCCTCTGAATTGGGGGCCATTGTCCGAGAGCAGGGCTCCTGGAGGTCCATATCTGCAGAACAGCTCCCTCACTAGAGTGGTTGCAACCGACTGGCTGGTAGCTGACTTCAAAGGCAGAATCTCCACAAACTTTGAGAAATGGTCGACAGCCACCAGAATATACTCATGCCCAGCATACGACTTTGGCAAAGGCCCCATGAGATCTACACCAACCTTTTCCCAAGGCCTCGTGGAGGTACTAGACAACATCTTCCCTTGACGTCTCTGGTAAGAAGGCTTTGTTTGAAGACAAACCTTACAACTGCGAATAAAGCTTCTTACATACTGCGACATACCACTCCACCAGAGACCCATCGACTTCAACCTTTGAAGTGTCTTCTTTCTCCCAAGATGCCCAGCTATTGGCTTGCAATGACACTCAACTAACACTGCATTCTGAAGTGCCTTGGGGATAACTACACATTCATTCTTATACAACACCATTCCCTTCAAACTGAAATCTGAAAACCAGGGAAACCTCTGACCCCGAGTCCAGCAGGGCTTGGGTCTTCACCACTCTGTCATCTAGACCCTGAACAACAACATCTGCAATTGTAGCATCACCCCTATCCTTTGCAATGAAATTGCACCTTGGTGACGGTTCTCGAGTAAAGCCCTGTGGAGGTCCTCCCTGGAAACCCGACCCTGTGGCCCCCGGAGGTACCGGACAGTTGGCAATTCTGTGCCCGAGCTGGCCACACCGGTAGCAGGCAGCATTAAAGGATCTACGTCCCGTGGGGTTACTGCCTGCACCTGTCCGTCGTGGAGTGGAGGGATCACTAACTGGGGTTGTGTTACCCGCATTCGCCCCCCTCTGGATTACTAATTCGTCCGCCTTGCGCGCAACTACCATGAGAGATGTGGCTTGTAGCTCCCTTAGTTTTAACCTCAATACTTCATCGGGTACTCTCTCTAAGAATTGGTCAATCATGACCAGATTGAGCCCTTTAGAGACTTCAGGCATCTCTACTGCCTCCTGGAGTATCTCAACCCACTTCAAAAAATAATCTTGTAAATGACTAGCGAATTCTTCATAACTTTCATTGGTCTTCTTATGTTCTTTTTTGAACTTTATTCTGTATGCCTCCGGAGTGAGGTGGTACCTTCTCTTTATGGCCAGGACAACATCATCATAGTTGTTTTGTTCTCTAGTACTCAGGGCGTGGAATGCCTGCTGAGCTCTTCCAGTAAGATATGGTTCTAACAGCCGAGGCCATTCACTCTTTGGCTTGTTTGCTGCCAGGGCTAGTCGCTCAAAAGTGCTAAGGTAGCACACCATATCATCATCGTTACTTAGCTGATGTAATCCCTTTAACGGAGGACCAGTTTGTGCAGAGCTACCGATTGCAGCAGACAGTAAGGATTTGCATAGTTTCTCAGTCTCATGATGATGAGAATCTTCAAGGTGCTTCATGACCCGCAAAAGGTCATCCACACCCACACCTGTATTTTTTGGTTCATCCTCTACCAGCTTAGGCAAATCACATAAACATGAGATCCGCTCTTGCTTGGTCTTTACAGCATTGGTATCAATATGATTCAATTCACACAAGTGTGCTATGTGCTCAGCTGTAAATCTGCCGAGATATGCTGATCGGTCTGTCATGGTTAATTTTATCTTTTATTGAGCACTGAATATTATACTAGACTAGTCTAGATCTAGTTTAAATTTAATTTAGTGACCTATTGAACGTGTGTGTTTTAGTGTATGGTTTTTGGTTAGTGAGAGTGGTCTAGACTTCTAAATCTACTATTTTAATCAAACTTTTATTTATTTAGTCTAGTCTAGACCCTATGTATTTATTTATTTTTCTATTTCATTTTTAATGTTACTTCAATACTAGACTACTTGTTTAATAGCTACCTTAACTTTGATTAGTCTATCTGTAGAGTCTAGACCTAGATCTAGACCCTAGATCTACTGCTAAATCAACAAGCACTACGTAGGCCTATAGGCCTGCACAATAAGTGGGGCAACAGTCACACACTGCATGAAACAACCGTGTCAATTAATTTCTCACCCAATCCTTAGATTTCCAAAAAAGCCATAGCACAAAGAAATCCCTGCCGATTACGCCAGTATAAGGGGGTTCACTATGTACAGACAGGAAGGATTAGATCTCAGACAGGAATTGGGTTAAAAACACCTTTAATAAGGCGACAACGGCCTTAGAAACAACAATCGGAATCTTACAGACAATCGTCCATTTTCTCCTCTCTCCATCCCTCTCCCGATCATATCGGTATCGGTATCGGTTATCACGATATCAATCCCTATAATATCATTAACAGATTTAACACTAACTGTGCAGAACCTACAAATAGAAAAACAATTACTCTTGAGACAACTTATGTCACTCATTACAGTTGGTATACATTCTAGTCATGAAACACAGACTTTTGTTCATTTGAAATCATTTGAAAAACCCACCTGCTCTTCTCTTTCTTGTTCTTCTCTCTTCTTCTCCTCCAGTTCCCTTATCTTGTGTTGCATAATGGCATCCTCTTTCTCTCTCTTCTCTTCCGCTTTTCTTTTCTCCTCCTCCAAATGACGCAACTCGTCTTCATACTGGTTGGTGGTTGACTGCCGGTTTCCTCGCTCTCTTGCCGCTTTCCTTAACAACAGAAACAGAAAATTCATGATAATCACTTTTAAAATGTCATAAAATTATAACCAAAACGCAACATCACAATTGTTATTCATGCCATAGAATTAAACTAGATAGTAGAAAGCTTGTCTGAACCAACAAAATATTCAAACTACCCAAAACAAAACAGGTTAAAATTTATGAATGAAAATTATTGGAAATCAAGTCAAATTGAAAAGCAAAACTCAAATCCAAGGCCAGGGAAAGGCAAAGCTTGAATAATTAAAAGCAATATTAATTATTATTAATTAGGGCCTAGACTAATTAAATTAAAAGTGAAACTGAAAGTCACTGAAAGTGAAGCCATTGTAAAAAAATATGACACCAAACACTAGATCTAGACCTCTAATCATGCTAATAAAACATAAATAGGAAACCAGTTATTTATGAAATAGAAGGATTTAGAGCACGGACCTCGGACAATCACGCCACGGAAGTCGTACATTTTTAGTGAACTGAGGCTGAGCCGAGTGAATTAAATTTCATCGTCAATAAATAAGCACAAAAAACACTACACTGCAATGGATACACGGGACAACGTAAAACTCTACTTGCCTGGCAGGACTGGAAGAGACTTCTTCTGGGGCGTCATAAAATTCTTCTGTATCACTTTCTGAGTCCATTTTATCCTCTTTCTCAAAGAAAATATGTCTGCAAAGCAAGTGATTTCTTCAAAGATGTCCAATGTCTCCAATAATGTAGATAAAACCCTGAATATTTGTTCCTAGAGTGCCAGGGTCAATGTTGTTTTCATCCGTTTTAGAAGCCGCAATGGACCGCAACAATTCGCAAAGAGTCATCGAGATCAACGCTTCTACCGTACATGTCTGCTCGCTGCGCTTTGCTACTATGTACATGTCAGCTTTAAGAGCCGTCGAAAGCCGCTTACAACCGTCAAGAGCCGCCAAGAGGCAATATACATGGATTAATCACAAAGCAGCGCGCCAACAGTACAGTCACCCAAAAGAGGCGAGGTTCATGCATGCATGCATTGGAACAGGCGAGGATCCACGGGTGGGGGAGCTAGGGACGACGGGCGACTGGCGCCCCACCCCCCCCCCCCTGGTAAAAAAAAGGGGGGCACCCCTGGCAACAACAAAAATGATGGTCACCACAAATCTACCTTTTTCCCTTTTTGCTCAAGGGTTTGGATAAAACCAAGTAAATTTTTCAGCGCACAATGAGAAACGAGTATAAATCGCAAAATCCCGCAAAATCATCATTTATAAATTATGAAAAAGAAAAAGCGCTAAACGAAAGTAATTTGATAAACGAAAACACAAGAAAGAAGCTCAAGAAAGTAATAAGCTTAAGAAAGATTACCAATAGTCCTTTTCAGCTAGGACTACACACTCTCTGACTCTCACAAGCGAACGCGCAAATCAAAATAAAATAAATTTCTTCATATTTTGAAAAATTCATATTCGGGCACTTTAACCTGCCCTTATATGACACTAAAGTCTAGCGCATCTTGCTCACAGTGGCGTATGCCACTATGCCTACTGGAGGCCTAGGTGGTTGGGGGCTTCTGTCCCCTTAAAACTTCCGAAGTTGCCCCAAACAAAAAAATTAAAGGGAGAAAAGGAAAACGGAAGAATTAAGGAAAGAAGAAAGATATAAAGAAGGAAGTATGAATAGAAGAAGCATTTAAGAAGGGGAAAAGAGCTTCCTTTAAAATTTCATGCCGTTTTACCCCAGCCACTTTCTTTTGTAACAATCCCTTACGTAGGCCTACCGTCAAATGTAAGTTTTGTCGGGCCTTTGCAAATGGTAGCTCTCCTTTATTGGGGCACGATGAAGCACCCACCCCGGTTCATTGAAAATGTATGAAGTCCATGCCCTTTCTAAAGCCTTAGAAAAATGCGTTACTACACAGTTACAGGAGACCATCTAGTATATATGGCTGCATGTTTGTACATGTAGTAATTAACTCCCCTCCTAATCTCTCGAATGCAATAAATATTTGTTTAATTACGATTTTCTTACAATGGTATAGGGAATAACTCTAATTCCCGTTCCCCTATAGTTTTATACCAGCCTTAATTTAGGCTCTGAAATATGTATGTACTTTGTACATGTAATAATTAACTCCCCTCCTAATCTCTCGAATGCAATAAATGTTTGTTTAATCACGATTGTCTTACAGTGGTAGGGAATGATCTAATTCTAATTCCCCTATAGTTTTATACCAGCCTTTAGGCCCCTTTAGGCTCTGAAATATTATGTAATGCAAAGTTTCACTACTAAAGTATAACAAGGGAAAGTCTCCCTTCTAAGTTGCTGCGCCGTGACCTCACGAAATATACTATATAACCCCTATATAGCCGTAAACCTTAAATATGCATATTCTTTGAGTATATAGTTGTCCCTTGAAATGTTCAGTGGTTAAACTCATTAGTGATTATTTTACGCTGCTTATCCAAATAGAAATAGAGCAAAGAAGGCTTAGAGTATTATTTACCTGTCAGGAGATCAAAAGAGGCCTTAAATTTAGTTGCAATATTTCAAACAACAACCAAAAAACAAAACAAAACAAAAAAATCGGGAAAAATCGAGTGTATAAGTAATTAAAGGGCGCTTCGATGATAATCAAAAATGTGAATAACATAAAATGAAAAATTGTCTCATTTCGGGGAAAATACGGTGATAAACTTCTTTTCTCCCCCCCACCCCCCCCCCCCCCCCCCTCCCCCCAAAGTTTTAAGGGATTGATACCCGAGTCACAGCCCCTCAAAATTAATGTTTCGCTCATTACGCCACTGATCTCGCAGCTCGAAAATAAATGTGTGGATATTCGGGCACCTTGCTAGGTAGGGCATCTCGTTGCCCGAAATTTAGGTGTGGGTTAATTGCCCGAATATTACAAAGTCCGGCTTGGGGGGGGGGGGGGCAACAGATCAGTAGACCGATAGGGTATATTTCGAGGTCCACGAACAGTGAAGTAATTTAATTGAATAGAAATGTAGTGATTAAAATTTCAATGGCCGAGTCGAAATAGTTTTCAGAGTAAACAATAACATCACCTGGTATATCCAGTCATAAATATAAAACATAATGTCATCAACAGTCATTGAAGATAATAAACTGGACACAAATTGTTATAAGTCAAAACAGTGGGCTGGATATAAATATATCCAGCCCTTCTTCTTTTCTTCTTCTGCAAATTTATTAATGAATATTTCTCGATAGTGTGTCATCAGTTACATTTTGTCAACATTTCTATTATTATTATTATATTGTGTATACGTTCAAACAAATTATTATATTTTGTATATTATATGTCAGTGGCGAAGGAGGGTGTTTGAAAAATTGAAAATCGCGCTGACAGATATTTCGCTCAAGGGGGGGGGGGGGTTACGGAGCATTAATTTAAAATATATCAATATATATATATATATATTTTTACTCAGCACCCCCCGCCCTCCCTTGAGCAAAAACAAAATTTAATTGAAGGGGGGTTTATCCCCCAAAACACCCCCTGCATACGCGCCTGATATTCAAATGTAATTTGATTTGTGAGTTTTGCAGAAGAAAATAAATTCAATTTAATAAATTCAATTCAATGATACATACTAATAATAATAATGATAATAATATTTAATTTGTATATAGCGCTTAATACAAATGTCTCTAAGCGCTTTACAAATATAAAGAATTGATAATATTGCAAATATACTGTATCATGCGAATATACAACTGGAAGTGACTAATTATTAGGCTTAAGTATATTGAATAATTATTAGCTAAGATATATTGCAGAAAAAGATGAAGGTTAAAGGGTTAAAAATTATGATCTTATCTACACATGATTGTCTATGTGAAAATATAAGCTAATACTGGCATCCGTTGCACCAGTAATCTTGTAGAAAAATCTCCAATTTAATTCAATATGATATTTAACCAAAACAAAGAAGAGAAAATGAAAATGAAGAAACAAGAAAGAGGATAAGTTGAAGATAAGGAAATTGTTTAAATAAGCAGAAGGGTGAAAAGAGATCAGAGGAAAGAAAAAATTAAAAAATTATAGAGAAAGAATGGACGGCTTTTGATACAGCGGCTCAGAAGACAATGTACCGAGAACAGAAAGTGGGAAGAAAGAAATCGGCCTCCGATCAAGAAACGGGCCAACGTGAAGAGAAAAAAAAGAAAAAGCGCAGAAGAAAAAAAATGAACAAATTATGTAAAAGTAAAGAGGAAAGAAAATGATGATATCCATAGAAAATGATGATACACAATTATGGAAAAGGTATAGAAAGAGAATTCATAAAGATAGCAGAGAAATATGTAAACAAAAAAAGTGAGAGAAATAGGAGTATAAGGGGAAATGGAATGCACAAGGAAATATGGACTGTGTCCGAATAAGCTGATTCACCGCTAATATTATCTTACGAATTAGCCCCCCCCCCCCTGGGCCTCTGCCCTCGCCAGTTTGGATTGAAATCAATAAAGTGTGAATTTTAATTTGAATTTGTCGGTGCTCCGGAGGGGGGGGGGGGGCACAATGCCCCTCACTATTTCAAGCAGTAGTATAACGAGCAGAAAATTTGTGAGAGGGTTGGTGTCAGAAAGAAAAAAAAATCATCACCACCGGGTGGTATAATGGGCAAAAGGGAGAAATAAGCATAATTCAAATCATTTTTGAATTTTATTGGAGGGGAGGGGGCTACCCTCCCAGCCCCTACCCCTCCCTCATTATATGCAGTATACGCACCCCAGGGATTTCAAGTATCCTTGTTATATAATAATAATAATAGGCCCTAATAATAATAATAATGATAATAGGCCCCTAATAAATATGATAATAATAATATTAATTACAATACGAGTAATGTGTTTAACAAAATAATGATGATATTGTACAATAATGATGATGATGAATTGAAATAAAATATATAATAATGAGAAGAAGAAAATCAGAGAGGAAGTAGAGAACCCACTATTATTATTATTATTATTATTATTATTACCCATTTAAACCTCTAAATAAAGTTTGTTTTTCTCGGGAGTGGGAATAGGAAGAAAATGCAGTTGAGTAGTGTACATGATTTTCAAAACATGCAGAAACCTATTAGAACAATCACTTAAGTCACCAGTCTCTTTCCAGGGCCCCCGTAGCTTTTGCGATCGCAATATAATAATGGAATAGGGGATATACACCATTCAAATTACGAATCGCTATAAACTCCGACAACAAAAATATACAAAATAACACTTTTACAATATTTTGACCTAATATTTACAATTATAAAATATTATTAGCTCCTAAATAGTTTAATTTGTTTTGAAAATATAAAAATTAATGTATAAATAAATATTTATATCAATTTAAGAAAGTAAGTCTTTACAGTGTTGCCAATTTTTTAATAAAATATGTTGTCGTCAGGGTGATCACAAGCGAAGCTGCATCGCCAATAATCAGTTACGAAAACGAGAGTGCAAGTAGAAATGCTTTTATTATAAGTTTTGAGAATGCAGCAAAGTGAAAATAGGTAAATATCTCATTAAGCTGATGTATAAATGTTACAATTAATTAATGTCGAAATGTTATTAAACAGGAGATAGTAGATTAGCTGCAAAATCTTGAAAATTGTGTCTAGCTTCGCCTTCGGCACCTCGGTCTGCATCTGTGTCGGTCGACTACGTCTACTCTTGCCCTTGGCTCGGCCGCGGTCTGGGCTTGAGCCTTGGTCTTGCGGAATTGTGCGACGAGATGACAGCGAATTCTATGAATGTCTTAGAGTAGACGGAACCCTCGAAGTCTCCGCACCTAATAATAGGCCTAGTAATATTTGACTTGAAACTGACAAAGATTTCCTTTAATATTGCTCTAA